TATTATCTTGATTTTTGCTCATGTTATAATCTACATATATTCTTAGTGGAAACATTTATTAATTTTGAGGCTTTCTTTATTTAAATAATTTTATTGAAGAAGCAAATAGCAATGAGACATTTTCAAAACCGATTAGTAGGACAGTTTCAATAATTAATACATTCCATGTTGTTGTCTTCTTAGTGGTTGTTCATAGTACAAGAGGCAGACATGATATCCTGTCCACAAACACTATTAGAACAAATCTCTCTATTCAATGATCCAAGAGACTGCAGCTGTGTATCTATCCTAACTATTTTGAGTATACAGATACAAAATGGTCCTTCCTTTGTATCCCCTTTTTTTGTTTAGTTTTGTCGGAGAAGGATATTCCATTGCCATTTAAATAATGTAGGTGTGTGAATTCAGCAAAATATTCTAATTCTAATGTAAGTATTTAAGGATATAAATTGAACTGCTTATGAAAGTAGTTACAATTATAATTAATTACATGTATGTATAAAGATGTTATAAAATGTTATTTGCTAAATTAATATGTACAAATAATTATAATGAAAATAAAAAATCTAGCAATATTTTTGCTATAGTTCTTATTTTTTATTTTGAGAGTTTTTCAGTGTAAATAAGTTTTAGTACTATATTTCTCATTATTTTGTTTGCTTTAACTTATGAGTGGTTTATCAGTATTTAAATTTAGCTTTAAATTTCAAAACATATGATCACTTTTTTACATTTTTATTGACATTTAATTGTAGCATAGTCAAATATCAGTGTAAGGACTAACTTTGTATTGGGATTTGTTTAGACTCGCTTATTATTTAATATTTAATCAGTTCTTATACCTGTTTGATATGGCTTTGAGCAAACCTATGTTTTAAAATTGAGGCAGAAATCTTTATATACACATATTGTATAAAATATATCAACTATGTTGCTTACTTTTTCTATACTTTAAAAATGTTTTTCTGCAACATATCTACTGAATGGGTGCTGCACAGGTTTTCCCAGGACAACCGAGGTACACAGATGTGCTGGGACTGTCCACTCAGAGGTCCATGTGTCCCCAAATAAAACATCTTTTTTGAAAACCTTTGTCCATTAACTGTTATACTTTTGAGACTACTGTTAGCTGTAACTCACATTTATAATTTTCTTTTTGTTGCCTGCGTGACATTCAAGAGGTTTCCAGTAATTATTTAACAACTTAATTTAAGTCTATGAAGTTTGTGGACTTGGGATTTTTATAGTATTAACTTGAAAACTTTCTGCACCCAAATAAAATCAGATCCTGACACTGTCCTTGACCCAATTCAAGTGGACTGTGTACGTCTCCATGGTAAGGTTTTGAAGCTAAGTCCTCAGTTTTATTTCTGACCTTTAATTCAAATCATATAAATACAACCCTAATATTAAACACACCATTGATATTTTGAGTACTTACTATGAGCCAAATACTATGTCAAGCAGTATTTCAGTTTACAAATTTAAGTCTTTCCACAGTTCTGGTCACAAACCAAAATGGATAAAAACTGAGTGAACTCCAGAGCTTGGGTTCAATGTTGACATTATGGGTC